GAACTTGATGCCGATAATGACCCAAATTTGAAAATTAAGAGTAGTCACGATTTGATTGAAAATGATCCGCGATTAAGTAAAGAACTTGCCGTAAAAGAATTTGAAACTCTTCCCTCAGCGGAAGATCATAAAAAGGTTTTAATCCAAATACTATTTAGTTAACATTAAATTATTTTGTTTAGATCCTGAATATCTTTTTTTGATTTCTTTTGATTTCTTTAACCCAAGTCAAAACCAATAGAAAAACCACAGGAAATAACTAAAGATGACGAGGATCATAGTGAAGATGATTCTGTTGCATTTGACCGTAAAATGAAAGATAACGTGCGGAAACTTCAGGAATCAGCATACAAAGGAAACAATCAAGAAGAAAAATTATCCAAGACGTTAGTCAAAATATAGAATATATCTGAGTTTCTTGTAAAATACGCAAATTTGCTTCTCAAATTTTACTAAATATAAGAAAATTTTATGTTATAGGGATATCATACGGAAAGAAATTGAGCAAGTAAAACAAGACATTAAAAAACTCGATCGATCAAAGAACTCTGATGATGAAGGCGAACCGGTTAAAAAGAAAATAAAAGTTTCATATGTAGAAGTTCAAAGAAAAAAATATTTATCGTCTGGGAAAGCTCTCACGGCTAGAAGAAAAAAAGGAAATGAAGCGGAGGTAAGTGAAAGCAATACATTTCTTCTGTTATAATTATTATTTGAGATGAACTAATAAAATGCTCTCGATGCATAGACGTTGGAGAAGCTGAAATCATTTCAATCAAAACTTATGGTAGCAGAACCTACAGAGGATACGCCGATATCAATAGATGAAGATGCCGAGTTATGTATGCTTCATTCGGTTCCCAATTGCCTTTCATGTCGAGATACATTTGGACAACCAGGTAAAGAAGACACAGATGAAGGGTGGCTATCTCATCGTCTAATTTTTGAAAAAGACTACAAAGGTAAAGATTTAATGCAAAGGAGAGATGATCCAAATGACTATGTGGTTATCGATCCTTTGGAACGTAAAAAACAAGCCATTGAGCAAGAAAAGGAGAAACGAGCACAAAAGGGTAAAATAAGTGAGGTGTTCTTGAAAGACACTAAGAGAGATAGGGACATACGTACGGAAAAACATAATGATTCTCGAGACAGTCATAATAGTGATGTGGGCAGAGATTCCCACAAATATAGTAAATATGAGAGCGATAAACATAAGGATGTTGAGAGAGGTCGAGATCGTGATAGAGATCGTGATATGGATAGAGATCGGAATAGGGATAGGGATCGGAATAGAGATAGAGATCGGGATCGAGATAGGGATAGGGATCGGAATAGAGATAGTGATAGGGATCGCGATCGTAGGGATAGGCGTCGTAATTAGCATTCTATTTCAGTTCATGCGACTAATTCCGTTTTTAAAAGTCAATAAAAAAACTTGATCTCTATATATCTAATTTTAACAGTACATTCTCATTATAGAGATTTAAAGAAGTTAGAATGTATAAATATTTCTAAAAGTACCGTAGATAGGCAATTGTATATTTATTATAAAATCAAAAATGGATCCGATCTTATGCACATTTCAATAGTGTGTTAAATTTACGAATTCCAGATATAAGTATTATAAAATCAAAGTTAAAAGTAAATATATAAAAATCAATACTAATCTATTAATTTTGATTTTAATATTGATTTTTAAATTAAACCATCAAATCAAACTTTTTAAATCGATTTTCAATATTTTGGAAAATATCATTTAATATTAATAACATTATCTTAATTAATTATAAATAAAAGTTATACAAAAACTATTAGTTATAAAAGAATATTAAAAAGATTTATGTTTAATATTATGGATTTACATTTATGATAAAACAATTCAATAGGCTTATCAAATTTTCTAAGAACAGTAATCTTGTTATGGATTTTAAATAAAAAGTTATAAAATAATTTTTATGATAAAAACAATTATGAAATCTTTGATAATCAAATTATTATTAAAAGCTATTATAATTAAGTTTTTGACTTCTTTTATTTTTTTTTAATTAAAATATAAATATAATTGATCTGTGAAACTTTATATGCTAAATAATTTAAAAACCTATTTTTAATCATATATTAACAAAAATTTGAAGATTTGAAACTTATTCAATATTTAAATAAAAAATATAAAAAAACAAAAGTTAATCTGACCTTTTTGGTAATTGTAGAATTGCAACAGATCATAAAAAATATAAAGAATTATATAAAGAAAAACTTCTGATCTAATTTCAGTTAAACTTTACAAATAATAACACAATAAGATTTACATTATATTTGAATATACAAACTAAACTATACTTTATCTTAATTAATTTCAATTATTATTGTTTTCAACTTGAAAAAAAATATTGAACTAATATTATTTATATTAGGAAATTTTTTGAATGAAGATCTTCAAAATCTTTGAATATAGACCTTTAAAGAACCTCTGTTATTATTAAAAAACTTCAAAGTGAAAATTTATATATTAATCTCTGAAGATCTTTGATATATTTTAATAATAATAAAATATATTTATATTTATATATTATAATTAAATAATATTCAAAAACTCTTATCTATTCACTACTGATTTTTTGAAAATTTTCTTTTTAGAAAATCTTCTTTCAAGAAGTATTTTTCTTTTTTTATTTATCTAAGGCAAATAAGTTTTAAACAAAAGAATATAAAGACTCAAAAAATACTGTTATAATAGAATATGATCTCTAATTAAAACTTAAGCAACTTGGGAATCTTTCTTGACTTTTGGTTATATAAGAAAAGGCTTATAGTATTTTTTTTTTATAATTTTTGTCTTTAAAAACCTTTTCTTTTATATAACTATTATAATCACTCCTTTTCTTTTTCTATTCTTCTCTATTTTACAAATACATATTCAATTATATATTCAAATATAATTACTAAATATAATGTTTGTTTTAATACAATATAACCTTTATAAATTCTTTATTTTTTTCTTTTTCTTTTCCTATCAAAAACAATACTATGTTTTATTTTCTTTCTTATCATTACTTTAAAATATTTTTAATCTATTCAAAAATCATATTTAGTTTTATTTCATCAAAAAATCAATATATAACCAACAATCAATCAAATTTTTTCACTCTTTCAATAATAAAACCAAATCTGTTTAAACTCATTTTTAACTAGTTTCTCTAACAAAAAATTTATATACTAACAACAATAACCACAATAATAATAATAATAATAATTATAATCAATTGATAATATACTAAATTAAAAAGCATATGATTGTATCTTATATGGATTCCAATAATTTTTAATTAAAAAAATATCAAAACTACACAATAAGATTGAAGCAGACATCATATTTAATCCATTAATATTTCAACTACATTACTAATCTATAAACTATTTAACTTTCTATAATTATTATTAACAATAAAGTTGTAATCCATAAGTAGCAATACTACTATTAAAGAAAAAATGCAACTTAAGCCTAATCAATATTGATAAAAGTAAAGCACTTTTGTTATAAATAAAAATAAAATATTAGAAAGTTGTATTCTATAATTTGACAGTTTAAGCCAATACTTCTTTACTGCTATTGGAGTCATGGCCAGTTATCAAAAAGGAAATAATAACCTAAGTAGACATATTTGGTTTGTGCCTTGCAAGAGAAATTATTAATACAAAAAATAATTGCATCTAAAACCCAATATTTCTTATTTCTAACTCTTTTGATTATATATAACTTTCAGAAGTGATTAATTTTGACTTCAAACTTAATGTATATAATAACTTTATGACAAAAAAACTACCTTCTTTCAACTCTTAATATCTTTATACTTTTTCACTTATTATAATAATTTTTCCTCTCAAATTTTTAATAATTTATTTTATTCTTATATATAGATAGTTTCTTTTTTAACTTTTTCCTTACTTAAGAGTTTTTTTATTATTAGAAATATATTTAGTACAATAGATGGTAAACTAATATATATATAGTTTAACTTTGTTTATATATCTCATATCTTAAAATTAATTATGTAATAATAATTACATTATTAATAAAGATTATAAGACATGTTTCATTTTAACATTAAAAAAAAATTAAATAATATTCAATTTAAAATATTTAATTGGCTTATAAAATAATTTTTATTATTATATAATTTTTTATTACATTTTTTTATTATTACATAATTCTTTTTATATATATTTTTATTTGTTTAAATTTTTACTTATTACTAAAATCCTTCTTTCTAATTTTCTATTTTCCAATAATGATTCTGAATTATTCTCAGTATTTTTATGAACCTTTAAAAATTCTTCTATAATAATAATTAATGAATCAGTCATTTTTTTATCTTCACTACTTAAATTTTCTTTTTCAAGTTCAAGTTCTTTTTTTTTTTCCAGTAAGTAAATATTATTTCTTTATTAATAGTATTATATTAAAAAGTTATATATATGATAAAAGAAATAATATTTTTTGTATATAAAAATGCAATAAATTAAATGTTAGTTTACCTATATATCTACACCTAGTTAATATCAAAAAAAAATTTTAAAACAATATTATATATGCTAAATATAGCTAAATAGTGATTATGCCTACTTACTTAGAGTTTTTTGATTAAACATAAAGAAATTTGAAAGTAAAGAAAAATTGAAAGAAAAAAAATAAATTGGAGTTACAATAATATAGGCTATTAAAATTATAACTAAGTCACTTAAATTATAAAATCTATGTAAATAAAAATAAAGTTCCCAAAAGAATCCCTGATTTGACTTGATGATTCATTCTACCAATTTCTTGCAATTTGTTAATATTGTTTTTATTGACATAGATAGTAAAATATAATTGATATTAATTTTTATTATAATAGTAGTAGTTATTGTTATACTGAAAAACTGGTTTGAACTGGTTTGATTTTTTCTTTATTGTTTTGACAAAATCTAATTAGATTATTGAAGAGTAATGATTATTTGAAGAAGGTAAACTAATTTCAATTTTTTGAAAAAAAATTTTTAAGAATTTTGAAATGATGCAGTAAATAATGCCATATTAGAGTTATATATGAAAGTTGTATTAAAATAAACAATAGATTCAACAACTTTGTTTGAGTATGTTTTTTGAAAAATATTTGATTTAACAAATATAATGATATTAATGTTGTTATGATATGATTATTGCCAGATATTATAATATGATTATTGAGATCAAATTTACAGTGGCCTACCAATAAATTGTGGACACTTTTGAAATCTCAATTACTCAAAATCAGGTAAGTAAATGTAATACCA